GGGCCTCTGGGCAAGGGCCCAGGCCCTTCTGGGGAGGCAGGGCTGGCCTGGGGCATGGAGCCGGGGGCCAGGCAGCCTTCCCCTGCACAGGGCTGCTTGGAGCACTGCAGCGGCACCAGAGTCGCCCTAGATCTGGGGGCCGGCAGAAAACCGGGGTGGGGAGAAAGGCAGTCCATCCTTGCACCGTGCCTGCCTTTTTGGGAGTGCCCGGCCGGGCATTGCCCTTGCTTGGGCACCTAGATGAGTGCAGTCCCTCCTGCTGACAATCGGTCTTCTGACGCGTTTGGCCTCCTGAAGCGCATTCCTTGGGTGGCAGCGAGCGCAGCCGCGGGCTTGCAGCCGTTTACCTGATCAGCACCTGCATTTCTGAGGTGGGATTTGGCGCCGGAGAAGAAATAAGTCGAGTCCTGCTTGGCTCTACGCTGCCATTGAAAGAGGCACTGCCACGATGAGACCGCAACATCCGTCATGCAGAGCCCAGGCAGTGGGTGTCACGGGAGTGGCAATCCAACCCCGATTCCCATCACAAAACCCACCTCTGTCCCCCTCCCGGCTTCCCAAAGTGACTGGGTGACTTTAGAGATGTCGAGGGCTGCAGTTGCCAACCTTTCAAAGCAGTTTCCACCGGATGGGCCTCTGGCTTTGTCGCAGGACTTCTGCCTGCAAACAAACCGGTGGAAGTGAGGCCAGCCCCCCCCCAAACCACTTGACAAGGAACAGAGAGGATGCTTCAACCAAAAACCGTTTACTGAAAAAGCCATCAGTGAGTCATTACAAAAGTACCAAAGTAACTTTCAGTCTGCTTAACTTTAAAGAAATTTATTTACAAAAATTAAATAAATAATTGTATTCTGCGAAAAGGTGTGTCTAGGGCTTCTTTCTTTCCCTTAAAAAAAAGTCCACGTTATTCAAACGGATGGTTCTAAGCTCCCAAGCTGGTTAGGGTTTTCCTTCGCTTAAAACGTGACAAAGGCACCCAAATAAAGGAGGACATAAGACGAGAAAGCGCCTGTGGAAAAACCAGCCCTAAGAGGGGAAACAATTCAGCAGAAATAACAATTTTGCTTTTTCGCATCGTAACAGCCTTTAGCTTGCTGCAACACTTGGGTCTTGGCCGAAGCTGTTAAAAACTGAAAGGGCCCTTTCTAAGTCTCCTACGGTCAAACCCTACAGCTCCTTTGTCCCACCACCAGAATAAGTTAAAATACAGATTTTTTTTGTGCAAACGGTAAGTCCAGCAAGATGGTCCTTCAGGTCAGGGGAGCCCCCTTCTGCGCTTCCTGCAGCTGTGCTCCCCCTTGAGCAAGGGCCCAGGATGGGGGGAGGAGGAGGAAGCGGCCATCGCATTGTCCAGGTGCAGCTCCTTGCGTGAAGCCGGACGGCAGCCACGGGTTCTGGCAGATGCCACCGGCCTGCCTGTGCCTCTGCCCTGAAGTGGGGCCGGGGGAAGGCCGGCTTCACCTGGTCAGACCAAGCCAGAGTCTTTGGCCATGTCGTAGAAGAGGCCTCCGCTCTCGAGGAGAGTGGCAGGAGCCCCGGACTCCACAATTTCGCCTTTCTCGAGGACGATCACCCTAAACAAACAATCGCTCGGTCATTGCGCCCTCTTCCTTTCTCTCCACAAAGGATGCCCCGCGCGAACCGTGGGCAGCGACCGACTCCCCCAGCCGCCTTACCGTGTGTAGTCCATGATGGTGTTCAAGCGGTGAGCGATGGTCAGGACCGTGCAACCCTCAAACTGCGCTCGGATCGTCGACTGGATCAGGCTGTCTGTCTCAAGGTCTACGGCTGCAGTGGCTTCATCCAAAACGAGGATTTTGGATTTCCGCAGCAAGGCCCGAGCGAGGCACACCAGCTGCCGCTGACCCACGCTTGAAGACAGAAAAGGCTACGGTTAAATGCCCGGAGACCGACACGCTGGGCCCTTCGCCCTTTAAAAACAGGGAGGTTTGCAAACAGCGGCTGAGAGTGTCCTTGGGCCTGTCTCCCAGCCCCAGGCTGAGATAAAGCGGGGTGTGTGTGTGTGTGTAGCCAGAGACTGGCTTCTGCTTATCTCAAAAGTGGCATTTCACCAGCTGCTCCTTTTAGGGTGGAGATGTTTTGCATGGGTCTGCTGGACTCAGCCCATTGCAGTCTTAATGCACACTTCAAGCTGGCAACTCTGCACTCTGCACACAACACTGATTCCCCCCAGTTGGCATTTTCTGGGCAGCTATCAAAAATTTCCCCAGATGAGAGCCCATGCCAGAAACCAATTTACTAGAATGTTTAAGACAGCCATTGCCACCTTCTTTTCCAAGAAAGGCTGCGGCCAGAAATGGGCAGCTCTGCTTCTCTCTCTCTCTCTCTCTCCCTCTCTCTCTCTCTAATTATTTTAAAGATACTTAACAACAGGACCAGAAAACAGAGAAAGACCCAGAGAAAAAAAGAAAAGAAAGGGATTTAAAATACGTTAAGAAAAAAGAAAAACGTTCCTCTGTTATCCTGCTGGAAGCATTAAATTGGTACAATATGTAAAGGTTATCTTCTATCAACTGGGTGTAAGAACGATCCTTCATAACAACAATTATTATTCTGGGAACACAAGGGTTTCTAGTGAATCTGAGCCAGTCCTTGACTTTACGATTAACCAGCCAAACGCTGCAGCAGAAGGAATGCGCACCTTCCCTCCTCCCCTCAGGAAAGAACCAGCCGGGTAAATGCCAGGCAGAGATTTCCTCCTGGTGCTGCATGAAACAAAAGGGCTTCAGAAGCTGGACTTCTCAGGAGCTGGCTGGGCCCAATGGCTGCTTCCCAGACTCCCAGAATCTCACGCCTGCTCAGCCCTTGAATCAATCCTTTGGTGGGCAGCTGGCACAGAGCCTGACGCCAGCCCAAGCTACTCCCGCCGGGTGCTTTCTTGGCTGAGACGGTTTCGTGAAATGCCAGCAGCAGCAGCAGCAGCAGCAGCAGCAGCCGCCACCGCCGCCGCCAGAGTCTAGAGGCCAACAACCTTTGCAGCGCTCAGCGTCGTGCTTTTAAACATCCGTCCAACACGCGCACGCCCTTGGGCACGGTAAAACCTCGGGGTTTTTTAACCCTGCTGTCCTACGTACCTGAGGTTTTCTCCACCTTCTGAGCACTCGTGGTGGAGCTTATCAGGGAGTGAAGAGACAAAGGTTTTCAAGTGAGCCAGCTCCAGAGACGTCCAGACATCCTCGTCAGTGTATTGGTCAAAAGGGTCCAGATTCATGCGCAAGGAGCCAGAAAACAAGATGGGATCCTGTTTGGGCAAGACAAAGAACAGTGCTTTGCACTCCGCAGAGAACCACCAACTTTAGGACACTGTCTGCAGGACATCACCATGGGGCGATCGCTCATTGAGAGCTCCTGGCTGTTTCTTGGGGCAGTTTCTCTCCCCTTCCTAAAACTGCTTCCTGTGTAGGAAGCTTAACACGTTCAAAATGGTCTGAAGTCGCAGATGCACCGATAAAGCTTGGCTCTGCATTTTCCGGTTTACAAAGCGAGGAGCACGCAAGCAAGAACTGGCTCAATTTGGGCCACTGCTTGCATACATTCACTCTCAGGTGATTACATTAAGTGGGGCTCGGGGAGGGGGAGAATGGGACCTTAAAGAGAAGGTCACGGGGCCCCATGGCAGCCCCTACTGACCTGGGGGATGATGGTGATCTTGAAGCGAAGGTCATGGAGCCCAATTTGGGCAATGTTAACCCCGTCAATGAGGATCTCTCCTTCCACCGCCTCCTTGATCCGAAACAAGCCGAGTGTCAGAGAGGACTTTCCAGCCCCGGTTCTTCCAACTATGCCCACCTGTCGAGAGAGAAGGGCTCTGCAGCAAAGGTGGGCACTGAAGCTGGGGCATGGGCTTTTCCAAAGGGGCTGTCCCTCTGGCTCCAGCCCATGCCAAGAGGAGTCAAAATGCATTTTCAAGAATTGGAGAACGTGTGGGCTGCACGGAAGGGACATTCCGTTTTGTACAGGCGAACCACCCAAAACCTGCAAGCACAACAGGTTCTCTTTATGGACCTCGAAGAGGTCTTGGCACGCAGGACCTCCTCCAGAGGGCACGGTACCTGCACTGCTTCCCACCGGGCATGGAAGGAGCTCCTGGCTGCACCAGCTTCTCTGCTGCCCCCCAGCCAAGTGCCAGGAAGCATCTTCTCTCCTGCCCTCCCTCTCTTGCCCTGCAGAGATGCGGCTGCTTCCAGCTCCCCGGCACCTCCTTGGACTCACTTTCTCCCCGCCACGTATCACGACAGAGATGTTCCGCAGCACTGGGTCCATGTCGCTCCTGTAACGAAGGCTGTAGCCCCGGAACTCCACCCGCCCTTCGTGAGGCCAACCCCCTGGGGCAGCTGCTTGCTCGGAGGTCCACTCGGCCTGGGAGAGAGAGAGGAATCAGGCCCTCCTGCACCCAAGCCATTCCCACGGTCCGGTGGCCTTCCCAAGACCACCCCTGACTCAACCCTTGGACCCCGATTCCCCCGGTCGAGCACTCTGCCTCCGGCCCCTGCCCCCTCCCATGGCCCACTACACGTGGGGGACGCACAGATGAACGCCACTCTGGGTGACTCCCAGCAGATGGACGAGGGCCAACAGTGGTGCCTCTCCTGGCCACCAGAGGGTACTGCTGCTCCACACATCAAGTGGCCAGGAGACGCCAGGATGTGGCCACTGTTGCCCCTTTCTTCTTGTGTGGACGTGGCCAAAGTTCCTCCTGGGTGACAAGGCCACGGGAGGCTGGGGCTTTAGTCTGAGAGATTGTTTAAGAAGGATTCAGCCAACTGAGGATGGTTTCTAACATGGAACCTTCTTGCTTAGGGGCAATCTATCTCAAAAACCATCTGCCAGGAAGTGAGAACAGGAAAGGGCACGAATAATTCTTACTTGTGGACTCCAGAATGAATGGGGAGGACAGAATGTGTTCTTGGGCTGGGGGGCCGTGAACAGCTACATGCACGCGCATGCACACGCGCACACACAAGCTGGACTTGGTATTATGGACGCTAAAGCTGACCTGAAGGCCAGTAGATTAGAGGTTCCTGACCAGCAGTTGGGGCACTTCGTGAGGCCCCCCCTTTTGCATCCAGTGCAGCTTCTCCTAGGAGAACCTGGAACCCCAGCACTGCGGAGGTCAAAGGGGTGCCCTTTCAGGCTCTGCCCAGCGTGCGAGCACAATGAAGGACTTTGTGCCCAAAGAACTTAAAGGCACAAAACACGCTGTGGGCCCCGATTCCAGCTACACGCAGAGACTCACCTCTTTTTCCTTTTCTGAGTATTCCTGGACTCTTTCCACAGCTACAATGTTGGTCTCCATCTCGGATGACATGCGAACCAACCAGTTTAAGTAAGTGGTGATCTGCCAAAGGAAGGTCGCCATCTGTGAACGTCGCGGTGCCCGAGGAATCGTATCCATCAGAAGGGCAGCAGTGGCACCTTCGGGGGGAAGCGGTGAGAGGGCTCCGCCTTCACCGCCAGCAGGGGCTCCCGGAGGAGAGCAAATTCATGGCAAAAGGAGCTACTGCAGGGTGGCCAGGAAGGACTCCTTGCCCAAGGCAGACTTCCAGGCCATACGAGGGCAAGAACCTTGTTTCGGGGGGGCAGCACCAGCTCTCCATTCTCAGGGGCCCAGAAGTGCCAGGCTCCCTCCTTGCCAGCGAATCTTACAGAGGAGCCAGCTGTCTTGTGCTTGTGGTTCCTACCCACGCAGTTCACCGTTTTACCAGAGTCCTCCCCGCAGCGTAATGCCTCCTCTGACCTGAGAAGGCTCTCTAAAAGGCAGAGCTGAAACCCACCCAAACCGCGCTGCGGCCACTCAGTACCTGCAGCGAGTAGGAGATGGAGAGGCCCACCAGCCCTGGGCTCAGACTGCGGCGCGCAATGACGGCAAACAGGGCTGCAAAGAGGACGATGCAGTTCCCCACGGACTCCAGCCGGACCGCCAGCCACCTGTGCAGCCAGGAGAGGGGGCGTTGAAGGCCAGCACGGAGCACGGCTTCCAAGCACCTCGGCCCGCTGGGGAATTCTGGCCCGGCTTACCGGTTGGCCACAATGCTGGGATAGTAGGCCTTCTGGTTTTCGTCCACTTTCAGGTCGCTCTGCCTTATAAACCGCTCCTGCTCTTCAAAGGCCCGGATGACGCTGACGCCCAGGAGCGTCTCGTTGAAGTGCGAGTACACGGGAGAGCGGCTGACCGACTCCAGGCGCTTCAACTGGCGCGAGGTGGCAACATAGAACCGCTGGGGGGAGAAGGGCCAGAGGTCAGATGGGTCGTCGGAACCAGGGCAGGAGCACAGGGGAGTGACTGCGAGGTGGCCTGACCCACGGCCTGACCCAGGCCCATCCTCTGAACATCTCAGGACTTGGGAGAACTGGGGAACCGGCCGTAGGAGGTTCCGCTTCTCTTCCTCTTTCCACTTTTGGCACTAAGTTCTTAATCCCACAATAGTTGAGGGGGAAAACTAGTAAAACGTCCTCTTCCTCATTACTCCTGTAGTGTTCCCGTGCCACCAAGGAACCATCGGCTGTCCCTTCTCCGTTTGCAAGGGAAAGTGAGCAGGGGGGGACCCAGTTTCCGGGAACAGGAACCCTTCAGAGCACTGGCACAGGAGGCTTCCTGTATCTCTCTCATCGACGCCACCCAAGAGGGGGAGAGATGGGGGGGCTGAGGAAAAGCAACCCCCAGACGGGGCGAGGGAGGCCTCCCAAAGGGAGGGTTCTCTGCATGGTCCTGCCAGGAGAGATCCGCTGAGCTCCGGGCAAAGGAAGGGCAGCCGGCCTTTACCTGCACGAAGAAGTAGAGGAGTCCCAGGGGAGGGATGACCACGGCCGCGACTGGCGTGGCCAGGAGGATGATGACGCAGGCCCCGAGGACGTTGAAGAGTGAGCCCATGAACATCTTGATGATCTGCGGGAGGACGGAGTCGATGGTGTCCATCTCTTTGGAGAAGCGGTTCACCAGATTCCCACTGGGCGTCTGCTCGAAGAAGCTCACGGGGCACCGGAGGACGTTGTGCAGCAGGTCCAGATGGAGGTGGCGGGAAGCGAATATCCCTCCCACGGAAACCGCCATGGAGTACCCAAACACTGCGACCCCTGCGAGAAGCAAGAGGCCAAAACACAGGAGGTTCCTCTGTGGAATGGCGAGGCCCGGCCCGGCCCGACCGCACCACCCCCGGAAGCCAACTCAACTAACAGCGGAGATGCGCCTCATCGGGACTGGCGAGAGTGCAGGAGCTCGCACGCAGTCGGCCGGTCCTGATCCCAGGTGCTGCCCTGCCTCCAGGTTTAACCTATTTCCCCCTTCGCTCTGCAGAGGATGCCTTCGAGCGCGCCGGCATCCCGTCTCCGCAGAGCTCAGGGTCTGCAGGGTCCTCGGGCCTTCTTCCCAGCCACCAGTTCGGGAGGAAAGGCCGCTGTGAACTGGCACAGATGCCAGTTGTCCTCAAACTGTCACCCTCGCGGTGGACAGGGCTGGGGCAGGCTGGGAACAGACTCTCTACTGTTCGGAGGGTTCTTTCCAGCTTTGCCTTAATCTGGCGGCTCTGTGGCTGTTTGGTCAGGAACCAAGATGGGGAAGCTCTGCGAGCCAGGTGGCCTTCCCCATCCCGCCCAGCCTTCTGCAGCCGGCCTTCCGGGGCTGCCCCTGACCTGGGCTGAACCCTCTCCTTGGCTGCTTCTGCGCAAGCTGAACACCTGCCAACGAAGTCGTGCTTTCCCAAGAGTGTGCCTGCCTACGCCTTGAGCACCAGCCCTGTGCCAGCCGCTGAGGGCACCGCGCAGCCGGCCCAAAGGCCGGGATCCAGGCCCCCAGAAATTACTCCCAGGGCAGCTTGCGAGAGCCCGGGGCTGAGAAGGGGACCCAGCAGGCAGGGGCAGCCTGGGCACCACGCCTGCTCTTGCTCACGGCACTGCTGCACCTGGCAGGCGGGGCTGACAGGAGAAGCCAAGGCAAGCGCCTGGCACGGGAGAGGGAGCAAAGCAGGAGGAGCCCAACTCGGCACATCACGGCCTCTCCTCACCGTCTCCCTTCCCTTCCGTCCCATCCTGCTCCACAACACCAGATTCAGCCAGGAGGTGCTGGGCAACAAGACCTTTGCTTCCAAAAAACAACACAGACCTGGAAACTTGGGACAATGAATTCTGTGCCCGCCAAATGCAGGATTCAGGCCCGTGGGCCTGAGAAGAGGGGGTACGCTCCGTCCTCTGCTACAAGCAGGGAACCTTGGGGTGCGGCCAGGGGTCCAGCGACACCGGGCACGGTCACTGCCACTGCCACAGCCCAGACGGAAACGAAATCCTCGCGGCTGCTGCTGGATCTGCAGCTCTGACCCTCAGGAGGCTGCGGGGGGTGGGGGGAGGGAGGCCAGCGGACCTTGAGATATTCCCAGGGCGCCGTATACCCCCAGGCGGAGGTTGGTGTGCTGCTGCGTCCCGTTGACGACGGGGTCGTCTGTCCACAGGCTGAGCCAGTAATTGGAAGCCAGGGAGGCCACGTGGTTGCACATGAAGAGGAAGATGCTCACAAAGGAGATGCCCAGCCCGATGGCTTTCATGTACTCCCAGTAGACGATCATCTTGACCTAAAGTGGCACACACAGTGGCCGTCAGAGACAGGACCCCATCCCCAAATCGCCGGGTTCCTTTCCAGCCCCCAAAGCCTGCACCCTGGCTGGGTACGGGACAGGAATCTGCTGCCCCAACACCGGATTCCCGCCTTCTCTGGCCCCAGAACACTTCCCTCAGAGGCCTGGGGGGCTCCCTGCAGCTCCTGGATCCTGCTCCAACTCATCCCGCCATCCCTTTGCCCCACCTCCCCGTGGCTGGCCAAAATCTGGCGTCTTCAGCCCGTTCCGGCTCCCTCCTGGACGACTGGTGCAAGAGAAGGCCCCAGTTAGCGTCACCTCTCCCTCTGGGTCTTGGAGCCCCAGAAAGATCCCGTCTCAACCGGGGAGGTGACCCTCCGGGGTCTCGCTCTGCAGGAGCCCGGCAGCAGCTGCAGCAGCTCACTAAGCCGCACCCGGGGACAGCCGCGCCCTGCCCAGAGGGGGCTTGAGAACAGGGCCGAGCGAGACGGAGCAAGGCCAGCCTGAGGGTCTCTGCGGCGCTTGGCCAATTCGCAGCTTCCCAGCAGGGAAAGACCAACATACACGGGACCTTGGCGGGCAGGGATTAAGGCCCTGCCCTCGGGACTGGAAGGCAGAATCCAGCCTTGGGCTAGGTCCAGCGAGCAGCTTTTTCCAGGAAGAAAACAGAGGATTCAATTCAATTCAACTGAGAAGTGGCTTGTGATTAGCGGGGCTTTTTTGGAAACAACACCGCCAAGTTATCATTGCCATAAATACTAATGAAGACTTTATCCCCGAATAAAGGAATAAACTTAATCCCTGAATAAAGGGATTCTGTCCGCCCTTCCAGGCAGGTCAAGAGAGAGACCCCGCGGGGATTCTAGGAATGCCGGCGGATCATTCTGGGGTGCACAACCAGAGTCTTGAAGGCTTCCTCTCCGCCCTGGCTTATAGCAAACCGAATCAAGGCAGGGCTACTCTGAGTTTCTTTCTCAGGCTTCCTTCGATCTCTGGACCGGGCAGCCTCTTCTCTGAACCCTCCCTTAATGGCTCTCTCCCCCTTCCCCACAGCCAGCCCTCAATTCCCTCAAGAGAATCGGGATCCCCTTATCTTCCCATTTAAGGTCTTACAAGGCTGCTGCTCGGTGGAAAAGCTCCCCTTTGGCGGGTGGGGGGCCGCACAGTCAATCCCCACCCTGAAAAGCCTCTGCTGCCAGTCAGGGGAGCCAATTTTACTGAGCTAAATGGAAGCAAACTCGGGAGCGCAGGGGAGGAACTGGCTGGGCTCTTACTCTCCCCGTCTGGGCGGTGTCCGCTTCGGTTAATTTCCAGGCGTTCTTCCCTTCTGGCGCCTTCTGAATCTTGGCCGTGCTGTTCTGCACCAAGGACTTCTCGGTTTCGCTGCTGTATGTCGAGGAGTTGCTGACCTGCCTGCAAGGCCAACGTGCCAGCGCTTGAACCCCGGGCCGCCTAGCTGTCTCACGCAGCCCTTCAAATGGCTGCAGCCCAGCGCCGTCTGTCTTGCATACAGAGCAGACCGGCTCTCCGTGGGATTCCTTCCCCACCCCCAAAAGACCCTCCCCGTCACTCGGGCATCCCCTTGGCTCAGACCCGAGGGTCCCGTTGCACAGGGACCAGGATCACGGCAGGGAGCATCTGGGGCTGAGCTCTCCACCCCTCAAGGGGCAGCAGCCGCAGCTGGGGAGTGGGCTCTGCCCAGGGGAGGGGCTGCCCCTGAGGCTTCAGCTGCCTCTCCAGCAGAAGGTGCAGGGGACTCCCACAGGCAGCGGAGCCAGGAGAGGGGCCTTGTGCTGATCCTTAACCGTTTGGCTGGCCACGTCGCAAGCCCCAGCGGAGAGAGATCAGGAGGCTCTCCAGGAACACCCCGGGCCAAAAACACGTCCTTCCCCAAGGGAGCAGCTCATCAAGCATCTGAAGGGTCCCTTGGTGGAGCTGGGGACACCAAAGGCTGGCACTGGATCCAAGGAAGGGAGAGGCGGCAGCAGATCCAAGCTGGGGACCGTTCCCAGCTTAGGCAAAACCGGGCTGTCCCCCCACTCAAGTCTGTGGGAGCAAAGCAGCCTGCCCGGCCCTTCCCAGCAGCCGCTCGCCTTGCCCACCTCATGACTTGGGCTGAGTGTTCGCAGGCCAGAACCCCGTTCTCCAGGAGTTTTTCTTCCTTCGTGACCGGACTGGGTGGCTCTGCAGGAGTTGGCAGACGGGCAGACCGAGGGTTTGTGCAGGAAACAAGGTGGGCGAAATTCACGGGAAAGGCAAAGGAGACATTCCCCAAGTAACCCTGGTGCTGAGGAGGACTGTCCTCTACTCTGAATAGGAAGGAGCCTGAGTCTCTGCAGAGAGAAACAGTCCCGGTGCCAACCCAGAGTCTTCCAGGCCACTCAGATGGATGACGGGAGCGCCTAGTCCCACGGCAGCCCTCGGCACCACCCCTCACGCAGTCAGCACCGTTGGGGCCCATCAGCGCTTAGTGGCTGACCTTTCTCAGCAGAGGTTTTGGGGCCCCAAAGTCTGGCCCAACAAGCCCCGTCCCTCCTACGATCATGCTGTGCTTGCCTGCGCCGAAGCCCAGACTTCAGAACGGTAAACTTTGCTGAGATATTTAAGAAACAAAGGTACTAATTTCAGTCGACTTGCTGAACAGCCAATAAGAACTTGGACAAGTCTCTCTTCTCCCGGAAAAAAATGCAAGCTATCAAAAGTTGGGGGTTTGGGGGGGAAAAAAAGGACCAAGCTTTTACTGAGGATTTTAAAAAATCTCTCTCCATCCTCCTCCAAGCTCCAAGCAGCTTATGAATTCAAAGAAAGGGGGGGAAAATGAATGAAGAAGGTGGTTTAAGCCTTCCTGGTTTTTGCTCATTAGCTATGCCTGCTTGTTTAAGGGCTGCAGTCTGCAAACTGCAATTCAATCCGGCAGCGGGAGGACTGCGGCTGTACGAAAACAATTGAGGCTGATTCCCAGAGCGCTCTTCATCCCACCCGTTTCCCACAATCAAGTAAAATGGAATATTTATTAGCTTTAAAAACACCCAATTAGGCAACTCGGTTTTCAGGATATTACATGATTGAGCACCGCGCACTCTGTTTCTGCAGCATGAGCTGGCAAACTCAGAAGCGGTTTGTACAGCAGAGCAACACCTTTGGCAATAACGTTGGAGTCCCTTAAGGCTTTGAGCCAAGGGATGGGAAGACCAAGACTGGGGTCGAGGCCCTTGACTGGGGCTAAACAAGGCATTTAGGACCCTGGCCCAGAACGAGAAGGCGACCCAAATTAGCTCTGGGGCCAGCAAAGGAAGACAAGTCTCAAAGCTGAGCACTTCGGTGACCTCAGATGAACTGGTCAAACGTCATTGGCTTCCATCAAGGACGGTGTTCTTCAAACGTGGCAACTTTAAGATGTGTGGACTTCAACTCCCAGAATTCCCCAGTCAGCATGAGTTGAAGTCCTCACATTTTAAAGTTGCCACGTTTGAAAAAACCGACCTAGGAGCAATCCAGATTTTTTTTACTTAATTTCTAACAACCATAAACTGAAAACCCCTCCAGTGCCACAGCCCTGGTGTCTGCGTGCTTATGGCATCAACTCACACACAGCAATTGACCAACACCTCGATAAACTGGGCCTATCTCTAATAGTCTAGTAACTAAAACCCAGCATGATTCAACGATCACTGGAAAAGAACACACCCGCGCGCACACCCGCCCCCCAAGCCCTCCCATGCCACAGGAAGCAACTGACACACAGATGAGGTGGAACTCCAGCGTGTCAGCCCTCTAAGTGATCTGCCACCAAGAGAGCATCAGTTGCTCCAACAGCACCCTCTGCCCGGAGGACCATCCCACCCCAGCACCCCCAAAGCAGGGTGCTAACAGGGTGAGGAAACATCTGGAACCCGACCAGAGCGCCACCATGCCACAGTGGGGCAGTGGCTGCTCTGCTCCCGCTATCGTCCCGGGCAAGGTCTCGCCAGCAGGAGAAGCCGCCGAGGCGTCAAGCCAGTGCCGGTTACTTGCCTTGGTCGGCCGCGTTCTGATCCGCCCCGGCGTATGTGCGCAGGAACTCCGCAAAGGCCCGGTCTTGCTTCAGCAGCTCTTGATATGACCCCATCTCCGATATTTTGCCTTCGGACAGCACTATAATTGTGTCCATCAGCGGCAGGTAACTGACCCCGTGGGTCACCAGAATCCGAGTCTGGGGCAGAGAGGAACAGGCGAAACGTGAGACGTCGAGGAAGCGAGAGACCTGCGTGTTTGCTGTGTCCGCCGACGGCAACAAATGCAGTTTGTGATTTAGGTCGCTTAATGTCACAGGAATGGCGGAAAGACGGGTGACATGCAGCCCTGCCCTGGAGTTACAGGAGGGCGTGAAAAGGCTGTCCACAAGCTCTCCCACACACGTACTTTATTTTTCAGGATGCCCTTCGGCCCAATGACTTTGTCGAAAATGTGCTTCCCGACGTGTGCGTCCACCGCAGACAAGGGGTCATCCATCAAGTAAACGTCAGCATCGGCATAGACGGCCCGGGCCAGGCTGACCCTCTGCTTCTGGCCGCCCGACAGGTTCACCCCCTGAGGAAGAGAGAGAGTGGCCCCCTCAGGGTTGGGCAGTGGCAAAAGAGGCCATGGGGGGGACCTTCGCACCCAAACACAATCCACGGGTTCCACAGAGGAGGAAACGAGAGGGAAATGGCGCCACACAGAGATTTTAATCCACAGAGGTTTTGGCGTGGCCTCCAAAAGCAAGTGTGGGAGCCCCCACAGAAGGCACCCATGGCTGTCTTGAGTACCTTCTCTCCAATCTCAGTCTGGTCTCCCGAAGGGAAAATCTCCAAGTCGGGCAGGAGGGCGCAGGCCTCAATCACCCGCTGGTAGCGCCGCTCGTTCAGCTCCCGTCCAAACAAAACATTCTCCTGCAAAGTGGCGTTCTGGATCCAGGCTTGCTGAGAGACGTAAGCGACAGAGCCCTGCCGAGAAGAAGCCCACCGCTGAGTTTCTCGGACAGGGAACCCATGGCTGTCCAGATGCTGCTGACCCAAGGTCCCACCATCTTCCACCACCGAGAGGGCTGCTGCAGCCGCAAGGGAAGCACCTGGAGCAGCGCACGCACAGCAGGTTATGCCACGGCTACACATGATCTCTTGCCCAGGCCAACACGAAGCCGTTCCGCTGCAAGTTAGTTTTGCTTGCCTGCCCCTTCCCCAAAGTCCCTCTCAGCTTAAGCCCCTCGCAGGCAGCTCCCAGGGAAGCGAGGGCCCTCCCTGATCTGCCACAGTGAGGAACGGAGCAGCTTGAGTTGAGGTGGGAGGTGGCCACAGGCCAAGCCGCAGAGGCTGCCCCTCCCTCCGCCGGACCGCCCGTCTTGGCCAGCAAACCAGCGAGGTCTTTAGGGCCCGCCAAAGAGCCTGCCTGCTTATCCAGCGTACCCTGAGAGAGACGTGCCCTTCCTGCTTCTCCATTTCTCCCAAGAGAGCCGACAAGAGAGAGGATTTGCCGCACCCGACCTGGCCCACCACAGCCACCAAGGATGGGTCCGGAATGGCAAAGTTAATGCTGGAAGGAAAGGAAGTGCCGATTCAGCCCTCAGTCCTGGGAAAGCCAGGGAAGCGGGTCTGCCTTGACCACTGGGGCAAAACAGGGGTCCCCAGAAATGGCACGGAGACCCCAGGGCCCCTGGGAGGCCACGGCCTGTCTGCTAGGGTGAAAAGCCAGAAGCAACAGCAGGCCGGGGGGTAAAATCCAGTCTTACTTGTTCAGCACCGGGGGGTCAGTCCGCGACCAGCTGAAGGAGGCGCTCTTCATGCTCACGCTATTGCCGCCCGCTAGCGAGTCCCAAAAGGAAAGGCGCGTGTGAGCAGGACAGAGGCGGAAAAGGGCAGCGCCTGCCAGAGGCGGGCCCTGCTCGTCCTCACCAAGGCAAGCTTTCTGCTCACGCCGGTGGGGCTGGCGGCCCCCGCCCCACCCTCGGACCTCGGGACTATTCCCTGCCACCGTTTCAGATTTTTCTGGCATGCTGTACACGCTGTACTGCATTTTCAATAGTCAGTGATGCATTTTAACATCATTACACCTTGAGGAGACGTGTGGCATGGGGAACGCATTCACACCACGCGTGTTCTGGAGGCAGGACTCAACTCCCACGATTCCAGCCACTGAAAGGGGGGAATTTCAACACCAACACATCTGAACGCCACAAACTGGGAATCGTGATGGCCGTGTATATGTTGAAGTGCACAATGAGCAGCGCTGAATTTAAATGGGGGGGACGGGGCAGCTGCTATTGACACAAAGCGCCCCTTTGCTGATGAACACTAAACTCACCATTTTTGATAGCGCCTCGGATGACACTGTCTGGATCCAACTCTTCGTGGGACAGGAACACCCGGAGACGCTTCAGGGAAACGCTGGCCTGACGGTGAGAGCGGAGAAATGCTCTGTGCCCCCCCTTCGCCCAGCCCCCCACCTCCCAACGCGGGGCCCAAGGATGCCTACAACTGGGGGAACGTTTGCTGCAGGACGTGGTGGCAGTCCCGTTGCCAGGGGCTCTGCACGGAAGCAGCCGCACTCATGCGCTGCTGCCTGTCGACGGCCGATACCCAACCAGAGATGGCACCCCGAGATGGCATGCCACTGTGAACACTTCTCTCTTTGTTCTTCCTGCTTCGAAGCATGAGGGACCAACCCCAATTCCCAGCTGTCCCCAAAGCTTAACTTTGTATAAGGCCGACAGCAAGTCAAAAATTCAGAGCGCTGCTTTTCTTTCCTCGTCAGCCACGCTTGTTCACAGCTCCAACAGACGAGTCGATTCTCAGCACTCTGCCCCCCAAATTCTGGGGCCGATGAGGAGTGGGCCCCGTGGGCTGCCCACCCCTGGGGAAAGGCGGAATCGTGGAGCTGAGAGGGACCTTAGAGGTTACCTAAGGTCAGTGCAGGGGTCCCAAGAGAGCACCTTGGCTTGGAGACCTCCAACGGAGGAGGCCTCGCCCCGCCATAACTCAGCTGGTTCTGCTGGCTGCCGGGTCACACTGTGAGAAGTCCCTCCTGACCCCTGGCCTGACCCTGCTCCTGCTTCATCTTCAGCCCTGGTTCTGGTTCTGGTTCTGCCCGCACGGATGGCAGAGCAGAAAGACTCTTACTTGCACGATGCTGCTGACGACCATCGGAAGGATGTTGAGTGGGAACCGGAGGATGTTGAACAACGCCAGAGACACAAATGCCTTCTGGGCATCCAGAACATTCTCTTTCGAAATGGTCACATAAACAGCGAACGTGGACAAAGCCACCTAGCAATAAGCAGACCGGGGGGAGTCAGGGCAGAGCGCATGCCCTCACAAAAGGCGGCGAGAGGAAGCCAAGCTCCAGGCTACGCAGGGCGGAAACAGAGGAAGGACAAGGCCACAGTCCAGGGGAAAACCCCAACCCAGAACTAGCGTGTGGATCAAGCAGTTCAGGTTTTAAAATGGGGACCCGGGTCCTTGAGCAGAATCTGAAAACAACCATCCGCGGCTCGCAAGGCTGAGAGGTCCCTCCCCTGATGACCTGCCCACCTCCGCTTCTCCCTGGGCTGCCCTCCCTTCTCAAGCCTGCTTCCTGCATCAAGTAAACCGGGTGCGTTTGGCCAGATGCCCGGAAGAAGATGCACCTGACTGGGCTTTGCAGCAGGGGACAAATTCTACGCACGAAACTCCCGGAAGCCACGAAGCCCCTGAAGATTTCCAGAAACGCTCACCAGGAATGGGGCGCACACCCAGGTGAAGGTGCCCATGGCCGCAAGGTAGGCAGATTTCTTGAGGACCTTCAGCTCTTCTTGCCGGATCTCCAGGACTTTCCGCTTGAAGGCCAGCTCCCAGGCATAAAGCTTCAACACTTTGATCCCGTTGAGAATTTCATTCATCAGCTTAATCCGGCTGTCCTTACTCTTCATGTGAGCAACCTGGAGCCACCCGCGGCAGCGGAAGCAAGTTAGGGTACTCCTAGCAGTGGCACAAAGCCCCGGGACGCATCCTGTACTGGCCGTCATCTGCATTTCTGCAGCTCTGGACTAGAACATGGAACAGCTTGGCCCAAAAGCCCCCCGGTCGCGTTGGGCTCCGCTTCCCATAACCTCCACGCTGTTGCCTAGGAGCTCTGGGAGCTGACGTGCAGCGCCTCCAAAGACCACCGTTTATCCTTGCATTTAAAAGGGGAAGCAGTGAAGGGCAGCTTCAAATGATCTAAACGAATCAGGGCTTATGGGGAACCAGGCCACGCAGCCCGCTTGCAAGGGAAGACATGAGGGCAGCGCAATTCCCCTTTCCAAGCTGGGAAGAGACCCCCATTGGCCCAGCGCATTGTTGCAAAGTTCATTTGAAGGTTGTGGCAGAGCCTCCCACCTGATAGGTTTTGGTCTTCATCGCGATCACGGCGTTCACTGGAACCAGGAGCAACATGACCGCCACACCCGCCAACACGGAAGGACCTAAATTCTAAGAACAGGGTCATTGGGCATCACGATCCGAAGCCCAGTGGGCCAGGCAGACTGTGGGGCGCAAGAGATGCCCCGGCCCCCTGAGACTCGGGGGAGTTCCTTCCCCACCTTGAAACTTCGGGCAAGGGAAACAGTTTTAGCTGCAGCCAGATTGGCCACCCGGCGCCATTCGTACCTGCCACAGCAAATACAAGGCCAGCATCACTTGCAAGGGAGCCGACCACACCATGTTGATGTAGGTGGCCAAGTCCATGAACCGCTGGGCATCCACTGACATCAGGTTAACGATTTCCCCCACCGTGGAAGTCTTCCGTGCCGAATTTGTGATGACCAAGGCCTTGGCAGCGGAGACAGGACACAAAGGGCAGCTTCAGCACTGAGGGAGCCCAGCAGCAAGAGACTAACCGGCAAAATAACCTGAGAACTCAGAAGCCACCCTCGGCTTCAGCGCCTGGATGCCCCGTTAGCCGAAATGCAGCCTTATGAAGGCCAGCCTCCGGTTTATGCATCTCTGCGGGGGCTGCACCAGGTTCGCTTGCTTTTTTGGGGATTTGGGTTAGTAAGTGACATTTCAGCTTAATATTTACTGCATTTTCAACATAGTTAAGATTAACCACGATTTAGGGCTTGGTTATAGCTGTGGAATTTCATCACGTGACTGGTCTGGAGGAAACAGGAAAGCAGGGAGCAGGCATGCGAGAGTCGAGGTCACAAGGGCAGACCTTTGTCTGGGGAGGCCAAGATGTGGTGAAGTGCAAGCGGAGCCGGAGTGAGGGGCGGCGAAGGAAGAGTGTGGCGCCTTCGCCTGTTCACCAAGCGGCACCCACCTCCCTGTTCCAAGAACAGAGTCGTTTAAAGTCAGTGCTGACCCAGACATTTGCTAATAAAACAAGGGGAGAGAGGTGGAGGAAAATGGCCCTTTGTCCCCAAGAAAGTTCCTGCATTGCGGGGCATTTCCTGCATTTGTAATCTCGAGTGTTCCCGTCTCAGCAAACAAGCCACCAGCTGTGTTACTGCCAGGGTGAAAGTCACGGGAAGGAGGGGGCTGTCCCAGCCTGTGGCTGCAGCTCCCTGTCACGGGTTGCCCGGCTAAGGGCAAAGGAAGGCAGCCATGCCCCCGGGCAGAGGGTCGCCGGGACCATGCGGCATCCGTTCCCATCCCGCACCTTTCGGTAGACGGCCCCGATGACGGCCGTTTTGAGCCTCATCCCCGTCACAAAGCAGATGTGGAAATACTGGTGGAGGACAAGCGTCTGCAGGCTGGCCGAGATGAAGAGGAGCCCCGTGTAGAGGAAGCCTTGCCAGCTGGGAGCACTTTTGTCGTTGACGAAGGTAATCAGCAGCCTGGAAGGAGAAGGCAGAGGCGGTGGAGGGAGCTGCTGCAGCGGGGGGGGGGTGTCGGGCGGCCCCCGCCTTTGGATGTGCGGGCGCGCCCCCTCCGCGCGCCCCCGGGCACACTTTTCCACT